TGCCCGGGCACTCGGCAGGGGCGCAGGATTCTTCTCTCTCCACACGCAGGTCTCCTTGCCAAGAGGCTGCCTTTGCAGTGTTGCCCTCCCCGGGGCCAGCCCCGGTTCCTGGTGCCAGCTGCTGTTAAGGAGCGTCTCTCTCCAGTCCACAGGCAGAAACAGGAGCGGTGGTGCTGGGGCTTTCCATTTCTCCCAGCTTTTGCACACTTGGCTTTGCCAAGCCTGCACAGCTGCAGAAGACATGGCAGAGCAGAGGTACTGCGTAGACTATGCCAAGCGTGGCACAGCAGGCTGCAAGAAGTGCAAGGAGAAGATCGTGAAAGGAATGGTGCGCATTGGCAAGATTGTTCCCAATCCTTTCACGGAGTCTGGTGGGGACATGAAGGAGTGGTACCACGTGAAGTGCATGTTTGAGAAGCTAGAGAAGGCCCGGGCCACCACCAAGAAAATTGAAGACATCACAGACTTGGAAGGGTGGGAAGAGCTGCAAGATGGGGACAAAGAATTAATCAACAAGCACATCTCAGGTGAGACACAAGGCAGCAGCTGGGCCACTTTCCTACTTTACTGATTTTCAAGGTATGCCACTGACTGCCGCACAGCCCTGTCAATATGCCAAAATCCTCACTGATGTGTCAGTATGACGTAGTGACAAGGTGGGTAGTGCTGTTCAAATCTGTGGCTCAGCCCTATAGGAAAGGGAAGAAGCAGTCACTGCTACAATAGCACTTCTTTATTCCTTTGTCACAAATGACTGTGGAGAATGTCTAGGTGGTTTAGTTCACATGCAGATGAATCCCGGCAGGAAGTATTAGTTATTTTCTATTTTCAGCTTTTTGTCACAATCTTTAGTAAGTGATGTATTAATTTTTGCTGTCTGAAAAATGTTCATTCTTTTTTTTTTCCCTCCTCCACCCCCAGCTCCTGTAAGGCTTCTTTGTTGCAGTGTATCTTATGTGATATGTTGAGTGGTATATGAGGTTATTTCTGACTGCTGGTTTGAACCTCGCTGTTTTACAGAAGCGAATTCCAAGGCTGCAAGTACACCGAAGAAAAAAGTGATAGTCCAAGCTAAGCTCACCGCCACAGGACAAATAACCACAAAAGATCCGTTGGCACTCATCACTCCATCACCAAAGAAATTCTCTGGCTTCACAGGTGGGATGTAAACTGGTTCTGGGAAATCCTTCTCTCCTGATATCAGCATCAGAGGTGTTTTAATTTGGCTCAGATCAGTATTTTTTATCTGTAGAAGATGGGGTGGTTTTAAGTACTTTTTAAAAATCTGTTTTGCCAAGAAAGTTACTACTTTCTTAAGCTGTCATTTTCGGAAAAAATGATGTTTGAGTTTCCAGTATTCCCAAAGAAACAAGGTTTATGCAAAACCCACATTGTCAGCCAGGCTCCACTACTGCCTTGGCCGGTTCAATCAAACTGTGAAGTTACAGAGTAATGATATCCCATGTGGAGCTCAAAACTGCTTGTGAGGGATTCCCAGGTGCAGCGTTCTGTTCATGGAAGGGAGAACGGTTATTCCTCAGCAGCTTGTCCTGAGAAGCAGCTGCCAGCAGGACAGTCAGGGTGTGAGACTGACTGACCTGACACAGACCACACAGAGCATGTGTTGTCACGTACACAGCCCAGGAGGTGAGTAAGGCTGTTGGTGTTATGAGAGAAAAGGGGATGGGGATGTTTTTCCCCCATTTTAGAAGTGATCTTAGGAAAACATGTTGCTGTGAAGGGCAAAGGCTTATAAGGTAGAAATAAGACAGAAGCATCTGCCATCAGGAATTACTTTTCACCAAGATTTAACCATATTGGTTTGGCAGAATTAGTTCTGTTATTTCTAATGAGAAAATAGTTTTGGGGTGTTTTTTTTAATGGTAATTAAATTTAAAGTCACACATTCTGGTGTAGCACACATCATTACCCAGTTCTGAAGCTTCACCAGCATGCTGGGTCTGTTCTTTGCAGCTTGCCGAGCAGAGGTGGCCTCGACGTGCACCATATTGTACTTGTTAAAAAAGCAACTTCTTATCTTTGATGCAGCCAAGCCAAAGAATTCGGAAGATGTCTCTGCAAACTCTTCCCACAAGTCTAGCCTGTCTGCAAAAAACTGTGATCCGAAGCACAAAGACTGCTTGCTGCGAGAGTTTAGGAAGCTCTGTGCCATGGTTGCTGAAAAGCCTAGCTATAACGTCAAGACGCAGATCATCCAGGATTTCCTGAAGAAGGGATCTGGAGGAGGTATGGTTCCTGCTTGGCGTTCCCAGCCCTCTCAAACTCAGCAGCAGAGTATTGTGTCCAAAGCAGGGGTGTGATAGGATCTGATTGCTGCGTGGCCCAAGCTGCGCGCCGCGATTTCTGAACTGGGGAGGTGATGTCTGCCAAGCGTGTAACTGAAGAATAAACTGAGCTAAGCATGGCTTAGGCTGGGATGGTGGGAAATGTTTGTAGGTGCCACCAAACTTAGTACTGAGATCAGATTTGGAAGACAACTGGGGACATTTCCCCTTAGAAACATGGTTTCATGTGAAGCTGAGCAGCATGGTGGGAGGAGGAAGCCCCAGCTGCCAAATTTTTCCCCAGGGTCACGCTGATGCGCACAGACAGACGGGGCCTGTATGTGAACACGAATTGTGACAGTTGGTAACGGTCTGTGGGTTTGTGTTGGTTTTTTACAGATGGTTTTCATGGTGACGTATACCTGACCATTAAGCTGCTGTTACCAGGTGTCATTAAAATTGTTTACAACTTGAATGATAAGCAGATTGTAAAGCTGTTTAGTAGGATTTTTAACTGCAGCCAAGAAGAAATGGTCCGGGACCTGGAACAGGTGAGTACAGACAGCAGTTCTCTTCATTTCTGCTGTTTGGTCCCTTGCTATGGAAATTCTATCACTTTTTTTTAATCCTATTTGAAAGCAAGATGTGAACTCACCTGCAGAACTTCAGCAAGCAAGACTAAAATATCTAGGCAAGTTGGGCTGCATCAGCTTTGTCCAAACTGCTGTGTCTAGGCTGTTTAACTGATTTATATTACCTTTTTGTAACATCATGTATCAGAAACTGATTCAATCAACAGATCTGTTACTGTGAGCTGAAGGTGGTTCATACAGCCACACAGGTGTAAGTGCTCACACTTGTGGGTTTTAATTCCTTTGCATAGGAGTTGGTGATGGACTCTTCGTGCTCCTGATACAGCACAAGAAAATGGGTTAATTGGATAATGAAGCTCATTCTTTCACCTCTCTTTATTGCCTTGGTAAATACTACCTTCTTATGACTTCACTAGACTGTTTGAGACCCTTGGATTTACAAGTGAATTCATCCTGAGGAAGTAAAGGATGCCACAGCAGTGAAAAAATAGAGTAGTGATGGTAGTTTTACTTACTTTTTGCAAATGAAACAGCTGAAAAGACTTATTCTGTGTCGTGGCAGCTTTTTTCTAATACTTGGTTCCAATTTATTCGTGCAATCTCAGCATCATTCCTGTGCTCTCTCCTACTCCAGTGGCATCTTGCCCATTTTCTGGCCATAAGTCTCACCCACACCCTTATTTTGGGTTTTTTTGGGGGACAGGGAGATGTTTCCGAGACCATACGCCTCTTCTTTGAACAGAGCAAGTCTTGTCCTCCAGCAGCCAAAAGTGCCCTGACCATCCAAGAGGTGGATGAATTCCTAATCCAGCTATCAAAGCTTACTAAGGAGGATGACCAGCAAAGTGTGCTGCATGGGAAAGTAATTGGCCTCTAAAGGTTTACCCCAAAACTAGGAGTGCTTATCAACGTATCACAAGCTGGCATAGGTGGAAAATTAATCATAAGCCACAGAGACTGAACTTAACATCTGTAAACTGCTCTTAGAGGTTTGCTTAAGGCGCCTTGCCTGCTGAGCAGCAGTGGAGAACATGTATGGCTCCTGTTCCTGATAGAGAATTTCATCCTTGCCCGTCGAGACACTGTTCGATCTAAGCAAGTGGCTTGCAGGACTACCTCAACAGGACTTAGCTGTTAATTCCTAGGCACGTTGGGAAAAGCCTTCAGGCCAGTTAGACATGTTGAGGATTCTTGGTTTGGTTCTGTTTGGTTTGATCTCAGGCTGAGGATGTTGTAATCATGTATTCTTGATGCATTAAGTGAATTTTGGAAGGTATGTCAACACCGAGGCAGAATTAACATTGGCATTCAAACGTAGAGATGCTAAAAAGCCTTCTGGATATTGTCTTGTGCCCCGTGATGTCACTAGTAACGTGTCCTCATTTGAGTTTAAACCCTACAGGGAGGAGCTTTTTTTAGAGAGGCCTGGGTCAGTTTCTTTTTTTTCAGCTGGAATGTAGTTCAGTGAAGTGTCTACCATATCTGAATCTTCTCTTGCACCTCAGGTGTACGGGCAATGACCTGAAATGCATCATCAGGCTCATTAAGCATGACTTGAAAATGAATGCTGGAGCAAAGCACGTGTAAGTCTTACCTTTCTTTGTGAGATAAAACCAGAAGTGGGCCAGGAGCAGCAGACCTGATGTTGATCCATGTTTCCCTCCTCACTTTGTTAAAGGTTGGATGCTTTGGATCCTAACGCTTACGAGGCGTTCAAAGCATCACGCAACCTCCAGGACGTGGTAGAGAGAGTCCTGCAGAACCAGCAGGAGGCTGCGAAGATGCCCGGGATGAAGCGCACCCTCAGCGTGCAGGCCTCTCTGATGACCCCGGTTCAGCCCATGCTGGTAACGTTGGCTCCCCTCAGTGGTAACCTTCAGCCAGGCAAGAGATGGAGTCCGCATGTACTGTCAGAGACCCTCCCCTTTAACGATCGGTAGACGTTTAAGTGACTGCATGTAGGATAAGCTAACGGAGTATGCAGTGCTGATTTTTGTTTAATGCCGTTTTATAAAGTGTTTCCTACCAAGGCCAGGCTGGATGAGGCTTGGAGCAACCTGGTCTAGTGGAAGGTGTCCCTGCCCATGGCACAGGGGTTGGGACTAGATGATCTTAAGGTCCCTTCCAACCCAAACCATTCCGTGATTCTATGATAAGAGGCTAGTATTCGATGTACTCAGTACTTGCAGCTTCAGTGACACTGCAGAAGCTAAAATCTTGACTTGCTTTTCATCCAGAAGTGACTTTGTTTTTTGTTTGTTTGCTGTCTTTGCAGAAGTTGATCCTTTGTCTGGAAATAGCATAAGCTTTTCATTGGATTAGAGATCAAATAAGTTTGGGTTTTTGTTTGAACAAATCAGAGGTAAATATTTACTTCTGGGCTAAGCACTCCTACAAAAGGCATAGTACATACACCTTTGAGTATTTGGAGGAGATAAACACTGAAAAGCTGTAATTATCTGGGCATATGCAGATGATTCTCAGTAAATGACTAATTAAGAAAAAGAAAACTTGGAAAGGATGTTAGAGACCCTGGACAGAAAGATCTACAAAGGAATTGGTAGTCCCTTTGTGAAATTAGGCAAGAGTAGTTTTATTTTTGAATGGATCAACTGAGTTTGTTTGGGACTTCTCTCTCCACCTTCCTAAGGCTGAAGCCTGCAAGTCAGTAGAGTATGCCATGAAGAAGTGCCCAAATGGCATGTATGCGGAGATCAAATACGATGGTGAGCGGGTGCAGGTCCATAAAAACGGGGATCACTTCAGCTACTTCAGCAGAAGCCTCAAGCCTGTCCTCCCTCACAAAGTAAGCACCTATAAACCGCCGCTTCTCTTGTGCCAGCATTTGCCTTCCTCCGTAAACACGGCTGAATGTCACAACCCTTTGTGCAGCCAGGGAGGATGCCTTCGGTGGTGGACTTGGATGTAATTTGTGTGGAGACTGGGAATCTGGAAAAGCAGCACTTAGTAGAATGGTTCACTTAAACTAATGGATTGCAGTAGGAGCTTGAAACTGCAGCTAACCTATCTGCCCCGGTCCTCTGCACGCACGGCGCCGCGGGAGGCCTGCTGCCGCTTGGGGTGACGTGGTTATCTTGGCTGAAGGCTCATTTATCCGTAGACTGTGCTGTCTGTACCACAGGAGAAAGAAGAGCTAGCGTGGGTGTGCCTGTGCGTGCCTCAGACGCGCTTCGGAGAAATCGGCGCTGGAGTGAGTCCGTCTGGGCTGCCAGTAAACATCTATTTCTCTTTTTTCCCAAGGTAGCCCATTTTAAGGACTTCATCCCCAAGGCTTTCCCTGGGGGCCAGAGTATGATCCTGGATTCAGAGGTTCTTCTCATTGATAACAAAACCGGCAAGCCGCTTCCTTTTGGGACTCTTGGTGTGCACAAGGTAAAAATACCGAGCCTTTGTGGCAGCTGGAGGCTGTTGGGGTGCTGACGCCAATGCAGCCGCATGCCATCTCTTCCCGCAGGGTGATTTAGGAAATCCTGTGCTTAACAGAGCATTTGGGGAAAAAATAAGATCCCTGAGAAGGTTGATGTTAATGAAGAGGTAAAATAGATGTGATATTAACCTCATCACTAGCAGGACAGGAAGAAAACTGAGATAAATATTAAAAACCCCTTGGAAAATCTTCTGTCGCTGTCTGCCGTTGCTGGTAGCAGTGTGCAGCAGATTGGAAGGCCAGAATGATGTGGAGTGCTTAGTCTGTGGGAATATTATGTAGTGCTTATGTCCAGACTAAATGGTGGCAAGGAAGAGGACAGTAAAATGAAAATTAAATTGTGAGTGCTTTAAGTTGAAGTACCTGTTAATCTGCAGCCTTTAGGGTGCTTTTTGGGTTTTGTGTTGCAGCAGCAGTGAGTCACCCAAAGTCATTAATATTTGTGGTGCTATTTCCCTCTCACTAGCAAATGAGCATGTGTTATTGTCTTAGTTTGTGCTGTGACACATTCAGTCTGATCTGAACTCCCAGAATACTTCTGTCTTTTAGAAGAGGCCTAAGCTTGTTAGAACTAAAAGCTTTCAAAGACAAGAATGCATCCTTTCTCTCTGTTGTTTTTCTACAACACCGACAGCAGATTTCTCTTTGTCTTTCAGAAAGCTGCTTTCCAGGATGCCAACGTTTGCTTGTTTGTGTTTGACTGCATCTATTTCAATGACATCAGCCTGATGGACAGGTACGTGGGAAGAGTAGCCAGACAGGTTTCCCAGCCGGAAGCTGGTGAAGGGAGGAGGGAGGGAGCAGTTCACATGGGTTGTTAAGGCTGGCCAGTTGTTAAGGCTGGCCGTTTACCCCTCTAAAATCAAAACGTCACAGGACAAGCTTTGCTGTGCTGTAGAGCATTGCTCTAGAGCTCCAGCTCGCTCTGCAGTTCCAAAATACCAGGATTTAACTGCGTTTGAACCGAACTGAGATCCATATTATATCCCCTGGAATTAAAACTTCTGGGGGAAAGTAAGAATTGATTGTCCTTTCTGGAACTCTGTAGGATGAATCATTCCATTATTCAGATCGCTGTTCTCAGTGCTCACATGACTGGTGCTTGATGTTGAACTCCCTTGCTCCGCAGGCCTCTGTGTGAACGTCGGAAGTTTCTCCACGATAACATGGTTGAAATCCCAAACCGGATCCTTTTCTCGGAGATGAAGCACGTCACAGTGAGTTCGGTGTAAAAGAACGTGATCCATGGTGAGGTCATGGCACTGCTCCTTGACCACGTGGCCTTTCTCATGACTGCCAGTCCGGCAGCTCCCTGCCTGTCAGAATGGTTCTGCTGGTCTGGGTGCGAGATCTGTTGAGCTAGGGTTGTTGAAGAAGGCCGTGCCTGTGCTCCCGTTTTGTCTTGCCTACAACCACTTCAGTACAGTCTTCAGGTGCACAGCTCTCTTTTTTTTTTTGGCTTCTTTAAGGTTTTGTAGACATTGTAACTGACATTGTTAGGAGGAGCTAAAGGCTAACTTAGTCTGTGCTGTGCAATGCTGAGCTGTCCCGGGAAGGCTGAAGTATGATTGAAGGGAACCAGAACTGCTCTCAGTACCCAAACTGGCAACTTCATGTGCCACACTGCCCTACGTCTTGTAGCACAGAGACACCCCGAGTGCCCACACCTGCATTTAGACAGCAGCATGCTCAATTTTTCTGTTGGGCATGAGCCCAATGTCCCATTATTTTTCCCCACTGCTACTGATTTCTGTAGCATCTCGGGCCTGGTGGAGAATGTAGGACATTTGGGGCAGAGAAAGCATTTTGGGAAGAAGAAAAAAGCATAGGTCCCAAGGCAGTTGGACAGGGAAGGAGGCAGGTGTGGCTGGCTGAGAAGAGCTGGCCTTGCACATATGGGACATACTCAGGACACAATCAGTGTCCATCTCTGAGGAGTGGTTAACTAATGAACCCTTCTCGGGATGTATTCCCAGCTTAGCCACTGGATGTGCAGTAAAGAGGACGTGTATGGGACTTTCCCTGGAAACTATGGAACTACCCATTCGTGTCTCTGCGGTTGCTTTGGTTTTAGTGCACCACTGCTCGAGAGAGCCAGAAAACCACAGCCCTTTAACAGTCTTGAGCTTACCACAGTTCCATTCCTTTTCAGAAAGCTTCAGATCTGGCAGATATGATCACCCGTGTCATCCGGGAGGGACTGGAAGGACTGGTGTTGAAAGATATAAAGGTAGGTTCACATTGACTTCTTACTGGTGTGTGCTGGGAATTGAGGAGTAACAACAGCCAGAGGTCTGTGGATGGAGCAGCCAAGGTTGAGTGTCCTCTCGCATCCCTGGGTTCTTGTCGATGCTGACATCCAATCCAGGCTGCTCCTTGTGTCTGAACTGTGCTGTACCACTACGCTGGGTGAAAGCAAGGGCTGTGGCAGAGAGAGCTGTTGCCAGATGATCTCCTTTCTCACGGCGGCTTCTGGCCTTGTTTTGCACAGGGTAATTATGAACCAGGAAAACGACACTGGCTGAAGGTGAAAAAGGACTACCTAAACGAGGGTGCGATGGCTGACACGGCAGACCTGGTGGTGCTGGGAGCTTTCTATGGACAAGGCAGTAAGGGTAAGTGTCCGGAGTCGGCCTGGGTCAGAGTTCTGTCAGTTCAGAAAGCTCTCAAGGTTTTTCCCATTCCTGGCTTCCTGTAGCATTTGGGTCTCCGACTAGGATGAGACTGGCTCCAGCCCATGCGTGCCAGGCTGCTGCCAGCTTTCCAAGTGAACCGTGGGCTGTTGGCACAGCACTGGGTCTCGGGCTGGGCTCTGTGCAGCGCAGAGCCTCCCTTCAGCTTTGTACGCCCTGAAGCCACCACGAGCCTGAGGCCTTGACTCCCAAAGATAGAAAAGGGGTTTGGTTCATTCCTTTCTGAAAAGCTCTGGCTTGTCCCGTAGAGGATGCGAGCCGCCCTGCTCTCCCCTCCTGCAGGTGGGATGATGTCCATCTTTCTCATGGGCTGCTACGATCCCAAGAGTGAGAAGTGGTGCACCGTGACCAAGTGTTCCGGTGGCCATGATGACGCCACCTTGGCGCGGCTGCAAACAGAGCTGGATATGGTGAAGATCAGCAAGGTGAGAGGGGTTCTGGCACGGAGAGGCTGTCGGAGGCTGCTCGGGAAGGGCTTGGTAAAGGTGCCTTCGTGCCGAGGTACAGCTGAGGGGCTGGCCAAACGCAGAACTGAAGTGCTCTGCTAGGAGGGGATAGAGGCTCAGTTGGAGTCAGGTAAACCGCCGTGACACAAGTGAGATGTAGGCACAACCAGCTCCCGAAGATGAGCGCTCAGACACCGAGTGGGAAGGCAGGCACCATCTGTTTCCTGCTAAGGCAGTTTTATACGGAAGAGCAGAGCAAGTGCCATTTTTTTGGCACGTTGTGATTGGTGAAGGCAGTCACTAGGTGGGGCGGCGGGTGAGAAATGCGGGGCAGACTGTTGCCTTGTGGCTAGATAACCTCACAGGCTGGGAGTTAGGACTTTTTGTGAGTGACTCGGGTGAGGAATCTTACTTTTTAAGACTTGATGAATAAACGGAGTGCTCAATTTTAATATTTCCTTGACATCCTATAGGCCATTGGCATCAAGGGTATAGAATCTTAAAAAAAAAAATGGGTAGTTTAATACGAATCCCTACTGAAACAACGTTATTTTTTTGACATATGAAATGACAGTAACTGAGAGCTGTTACAGGTAATTTTTGTGATTCTCCAGATGAGAGAAACTGCTGCGGATCAGTGCACCTTTGCGCTGCAGACTAAAGCAAGGCTCACCCCTACAAAGGCAATGTAATACCTATATGTTAACCCACTATACTAGGCTATCCTTCAGCAATGTTTAGAGGAATGAAGTACTATCATTTTTTTTTTTCTGCTTTTAATTAATAGGATCCTAGTAAAATTCCAAAGTGGCTAAAAATTAACAAAATCTACTACCCAGACTTCATTGTCCCAGATCCAAAGGTAAGTGCTCTGAGAGTCACATAACTGTTTCCCAGCCCTTGACAGAGCAATCGACTGTGCTTCCCTTAAGGGTACACGTTGTCTCTGGTCCAAGATGAGCCTTCCTGCTTGGAACAGGACATGAACCGCAGGGTCCTGCCTCTGAATCTTGCAGGTGTGTTTGAGGCCAAGAGCTTCAGGAACAAACCGCAGCTGTAGCACTTTTGGGAAATGTTCTTGTGTAGTAAATCTCTTCCAGAAGTGAACTTACTTAAAATCTGAGGCATGAAAAATCTGACTTAAAATGATTGAAGCACAAGTGTAACCTCGAAGTTGCTATTGTTCTTACAGAATTTATGGGTGCGCTTTGCGCCATGCATGTCCCAGAGAAAACGTGTTATTTAGAAACGGGCATTATGTGTTAGTTGAGGATCTCCGACTCCCTGAAATATTAATTGGAAAAAGTTCTATTTTTGTGACCAAGAATGTGCATATGGAACTGGGTGTCCTGCGGGGCGAGGGGGGTGTTGCAGAAGCAGAGGAACGCAGATGCGTTGGAGTTAGTTTGTGAGACGACACGTGAATGTGACATGACTTCCTCAATACTGTGTTTAGAAAGCTCCAGTGTGGGAGATCACAGGGGCTGAATTCTCTAAAGCTGAAGCCCACACTGCAGATGGGATCTCCATCCGCTTCCCTCGCTGCACCCGCATTCGGGATGACAAAGACTGGAAGACAGCCACCAACCTCCAGCAGCTGAAGGTCAGTTACCTCAGGGTGTCTGCAGCACGGGCGAGAACGAGTTCTGACAACGGTCTGTGTGTAAAAGGACAACTCTGCTGGCAGGGAATGTACTGACGGAATCTGCTGGCTGGTGCCTCTGATGGCATGTCACGTTCTCCAGTAATTCACAGAATCACAGAAGCAGTTGGAAGGGACCTTAAAGACCATCCAGTCCCCCCCCCTGCCATGGGCAGGGATACCTTCCACTAGACCAGGTTGCTCCAAGCCTCATCCAGCCTGGCCTTGGACACTTCCAGGGATGGGGCATCCACAGCTTCTCTGGGCAACGTGTCCCAGTGCTCCCCCCCCTCTCCGGGAAGAATTTCTTCCTGATATCTAATCTAAACCTCCCCACTTTCAGTTTAAACCCGTTACCCCTTGTCCTGTCACTACAGGCCCTTGTGAAAAGTCCCCCCCAGCTTCCTTGTAGCCCCTTCAGGCACTGGAAGGTGCTATAAGGTCTCCCCAGAGCCCTCCCTTCTCCAGGCTGAACACCCCAACTTAAAGATGGGGTTATGTTTCCCCTTTTCCAGTCAGTGGGAACAGACCGCCACGACTTCCCCAGTGTGATGGGTAGAGTTTTCACAGCCTCATCCGCCAGTTCCCTCAGGTCCCACGGATGTATTCCATCAGGTCCCATGGACTCGGGCTGCTTGCTGGATTATTTTGATGGGAATCTTAACCTTTCATGGGGCCTCTCGAGTGCTCGAGCTGTTGTGTTGTGCACTTGCAGGAAGGTCTGTGCTGGCAGTTAGTTGTATCAGCTCTTGCAACAGCCGTGTGGTGAGGAATTTTCTTCCTGAAAGAGGTGACCTTTATTCTCTTTTAAGTGTTTATGGTCATTCTGTCTCCTGTTAATGGCTGAGCCTGGGGGAGGCATCTGGGAAGTGCCTGGGGCAGCCTGGCCCAAGCCCAGGGACCAGATGGCAGTGTGGCAGGACCCCCCGGGCGCGCCACCCCATGCAGCCTCTGCCTCCTTTACAGACAGACACCCCGTGGCCTGCTGCCACCCCGGGCAGTAAGTCAGCGGCTGCCGAGCTCTGTTCTCCGCCAAGTTCCTGTTGTTTGGGCTGTCTTCGCCCTACCTGCCAGGAGGCTGGCAGCAGGTTAAGTGCTTGTTGTGCCGTGGAAGCAAGGAGTGATTCAGCCCACCTGCTGCCCGGCAGCCTCTCTGGCTCCCTGTGCAGGCAGGGCAGAGAAGGGTAAAGCACCCTCGTCAGGCAGACCATGCCCCGAGTGAGCAACGGGCATTGGCCGTTTTTCAGGCCGGGAGTGGGCTCGGAAGGGTTGATCTGTCTCGCTGTGCAGTAGGTGCTGTCCGGTGGCTGTTGGTGCCTTCCCGTACAGCGTCCCGTGATGCCAGCCAGCTGAGAACACAGAGGTTGAGCAAAGCTGACTGGAGGATGGCTGTGAAGGCTACGGGCGAGCACTTCGAGGGGGGGACGACCAAGGAGCACGCGCGCTGTGGCCGGTGTCTGGTGCCGGAGGGTTCGCCGTGGCTAAAGGTGGTGCTTTGTTTCTGGTGGGGCAGGAGCTGTACCAACTCTCCAAAGAGAAGGCTGATTTCAATGTTGTTGCCGGGGAGGAAGACGAGTCTACAGCTGGCAGCAGCGGAGAGAACGAGGGAAATTCCAGGTCTTCCACGCCACATAGCGCTGCTAAATCTCCCCCAAGCAAGTCACCTGCAAAAGCCCAGAAGCCGGAAGGTAAGACAGTGCTTTTGGGGGGAGAGAGGAGCCTTGGGGCATGTTCTCTCCATTTGGGGCAGGCCGGCTTTGGATCTCTGCCTTCCCCCAGATGCTCAAAGATCCCGTGGCAGCTTTCCCGTGCACGTCAGGGTTAATGGGAAGAGCCGCTCGGACCCTTGGTTTGGCCTTTGTTCGTGGTGTGAACAGCCACCGCTCTGAGGGCTGCTGGCTCTGAGAAAAGGTGGAAATGGCGCTGATGGGGCTCGTTAGGTTGGTGCTTTGGCCACTCATTTAGACAAAGCTTGCCTTGCTGCCTAGAACAGACCTGAGCCTCGCAGAGTGTCAGTTCGTACCAAATCCGCTTTGGAGCGACTTCTCTGGGATGCAGTCCCTTTTAATCGTACTAGACCAGGGTCCTCAGCAGAACGTGCAACTGGTCTGAACAGCGAATCGGCTGCTCTCATTCCTGCAGATCGTGTGCCCTCGTTTTTGGCCATGAGCCAGCATTTCATTTTGTTTGGATGGAATTTGAGCGTTAGTGGGGCACCTGGGTGGAGGGGATTCCCAGGCAGTAGCTGCAAAGCTGAGGGTGAGGTTCCCTTCGCGGCGCTTTGTCACTGAGGAGGAACTTGAAGCGGCTGCCTGAGTGGTCTCCGAAAGGCGATGTGATGACAGCAGGGAGGGAGGTTGGACAGCAGCATCCTGGCGATCAGGGCGGGGAGATGCCCTGGGCCATTTCCAGTAGAAAAATGTGTCTTACTGGTTACATTCTAATTCATGGATTTTCCAGAAAAAGGGGGGAAAAGCTTTTTTCCTTCTACTCTCTTCACTCTTCTCCCCCCCAGTTCAATACGCAACCAGTATCTGAACAGAGAGCACAAATGAGACAAGTTCTTGTTTTCAGAGAGCAAAGCAGTCGCTGCATCCCCCCAGAAATCGGAGGAGAAACGAGGGGAGAAGAGAAAAGCGTCCGAGATGGATGACAATGGAAAAAAGGTACGGGCTGCTGGGGTGGGAGGAAGCTGGGGCAGGTGTCCATTCTGCCTTCCGCCTGGGCAGTCTTTGGCATCATCTGGCAGCAGCACCCGACATTGAAAACAAAACGTAAAGGCAGACGTAGCAGCCACGAGGCGCTGGGGAAGGAAGCGGAGGGCTGCGGCCCTTCGCCCTGTCTGCAGCGCCGACGTAACGGGGTCGGTGGTGCTAAAGGCCCCTGCTCTGCTCGCCCCCCTCCCCCCCATGTGGGACTGCTGAGCGGCTCCCCTTCCCCGCTGCTGCTGCGGGAAGAGCTGGGGGCTGTAAAGGGAGAGCTGTCCTTTCCAGGCCGTGGTGCAGCAAATCGTAGGAGTGGATTGACTCCCTGGGCTGTAATTCCCTGGTGAGCCCGGCGGGCTGCTCTCCTGCCCTAAGGAAGCTCGGAGAGGCAGATGCTGAGGCGAGGGTTCCTGGCCCACACCAGCATCACCCCTGCGGGGAGTAACGGGGAGGCGTCCCCGCCCGTGCTAGGGCAGCGCTGTCCCGCTGCAGCACCCGGCGTCAGGGCAGGGGCGCGGGAGTCTCGTGAGTGATTTCGCGGTGGTCTGAAGAGCAGTTGGCTGTTACCGGGCGTGGGATTAGAGCGAGAACCTTGGGAACCGCGGGGGGACGCCTTCATGCCTCAGACAGATCAGTGTAACGCCCGGGCCAGCCCACTGGTGTCTCACCCTCTCGCAATTCGCAGCCGCTGCTGGACATATTCACCGGCGTGAGGCTGTACCTCTCCCCCGCCGTGAAGGACTTCGACAAGCTCCGGCGGTACTTCATCGCGTACGACGGGGATCTCGTGCCGGAGTTCGACGCCGCCTCGGCAACGCATGTTATAGGGGACGTTGATGAGAATCCTGGTGCTAAGCGTGTGTCTCCCAACTGGATCTGGGAGTGCATCCGGAAGAGGAGGCTGGTAGCCCCATGCTAGCGGTGGGGGGCAGCTGACCGGTCCTGACGTGGGAATTCCCTGAAAGGAACGGCTGAGAACTGGGTAGGTGGAAGAAGATGGGGGGATTCCTCTGTGGAGACATGGATAGGAATGAAATGCCCCAGTTCACCCCAGGTAGTTAAGACCCATAGCGACCCTACAGTATTAATTAAAACAGCTCTCTGATGAAATGTCACCGCTGAATCCATTTTCTGCCCTCGATGTAGACAACTGCACTTACTCAGTGCTGCTTTAGTCTCCCTGGGTTTTTAAAGTTTGGGTATTTTTATAGAGAAATAAAACCGAAGCAGTTTCTCCTTTGCTGTCAGGACTTCTTTTCCAAAGGTTATTGTCTGCCTGGACGGGAAAACACCACTGGGTATGTGAAACTGGCTGCGTTGGCAGGATGGTTCTGCGTGGCTGCGCTCGCCACAAAGGACACGTGTCCTTCTCCTGGCTTGACTCCCTGTCTTTTAGCATTCGGCACAGGTCTGTGCCCCGCAGCGCTGTACGTCGCGGCTCTAGGTTTCACACTGAAACCGGGACACCAGCTACGCTTCCATCCCAGGGACTGCTGGAGCGTTATCCCAGCATCCTCGTGGAGCGCTCGCCACTCGTGGGCTGGTAGTCACGTTGCGGTGAGTAGAAGCTGGGGAGGAACTCTACCACCTGGATCTTGGAGGCTGGCCGGGAGACCGCCTTAGCCGAGTGCAAGCCTCCTGCGGGAGCGTGGGAGTTAGTGCAGTAAGGAGGGTGTAGAAACGGGTCGGTTGTACCTGTGTGACGTAGCACGTGACCCCGCGCGGCTGCTGACGGCGTGAGCGGGCCGAGGGTGCCTGCGTGCCGGGGAAGGAAAAGCGAGTTTCCTGGTTCCCACAGTCTGAAGGGGCCGGAGTGTGCTCTCCCCTCTGGAATCTTCAGAGTTGAGTGTACTCCTAAAGTCAGCACTTTCTGTTAATATTTTCCTTCAACTCCTGTACTTGCACCCCCCCAGCACCACTGAAGCACGCAGGCCCCCCAGCCCGTTCTGGCTGGCGTTTGGAAGAGCCGCAGGATCTCTGCTTTCTCCCAGCCTGTTGGCCACAGACTCACAAGAAGGGTAACCAATCACGCTTCAACTTTATTATAAAATTATAAACCAGACTTCTGTACCAAAACTAATAGGTTTAACTGTCCGAGTACCAAGAGGATTTGATAGAGAATAACATGCTGTTTCAAGCAGAATATTAACTTTAAACTGTGTACATAAAGCACGTAAATATTTGCGTTTATTAGCTCAGCTCATTACATTCCTTTGGGTCATTAATCAGTCTCCTCCAGCTTCTTATTTTCCCGTAAAAACACTGGTAGCCATAGCAGAGTGTCCATTTTTGCCAGGGAGGGAGCGTGGTCAGCGTGGCGACGCGGGAGCGCGCTCCCTTGGGAAAGCACCCTCGGAGTTGGGGGGGCACATGGGGCTCCTGTAGCCTCAGGTGCTGACCTGCACTTTGCCACAGCTGCTGCGGGAGGTGACCTGCCCTCGACAGGTACAAGCCCAGCCGTCCACGGGGAATAACCTGCCCGATTCCCTCAGCCCCAAGGTCACTGAAAACACGACGACAGGCATTTTCCCAGTGAATTCACCGAGTGGGGCTGTTCAGCACTCAGGTGTGTGTCGCTGTACCTCCGCCTGAGGGCTCTGACCCCCCTGCAGAGCCAAGGGCTGTACCCGCAGTCTTCACTGACCCGAGCGGGGCTCTCCGCGTGCTGCAGGCTGCTCAGCCAGAGAACGGCCCCAACGGGCGGAGGTAAAGCTCGCGCTCTTTCGTTCGATAAACTGCAGCAGCGGCTGCGTTGCTGTGGAGTTCGAAGAGTAGCGCAGGGGTTCTGCTGCCTACCGCCGGACAGATTCCTTCACCTGAAGGGTTTCCCCATTCCAGCCTGCAGAGCCCCCCGGGGCGAGAAGCGATCAGCTCCTGGCGCCGCGTTCCGCGTGAAAGATGCTGCAGTTTGGGTGCCGTTACCAAAGCTGCTGCCATCGTGTCGGTGACCGCGACCCAGGGGCTGTGAGCAGAGGCTGGGTCTGCCGCTGCTGCTCCGCTGGCGGCCACGCGGAGATCACAGCAGG